TCTCACACCTCTCTTCCCTTCTTGGCACCATCTATCTCCCAGCAGACCTTAAACAAAATGGGATCTCAGGTGGCTAAGTGTCCCCATCACTTCCGCAAGACATCCGCTGTGGGCAACTTCAGGGGCATTGCAGAGTTCCAGGTAAGGGACAATATTTGTAGTCAGTCCTGACCTTGGGCCAGCACCTTTAATAACTTTTCAAGTTAAAAATATTACTTTTCAAAATAAAAGAGAAAAAAAGGGGGGAGTGTTTCTTGAGTTACTATTGTTGGGAGCACAGAAACAGAGCTCCAGGACAGAGGGGTGTTGATGCTCCATTGGAAGCAGGCAAACGAGTGAGTATTATAACAATTCAACATTGCTTCCTTCCCAGCTGTTGGGGAAGATACTCTCTTTCATCTTTGACCACACTTTTACACAGCGCTTCAAAAACTGACAAGGCCTCAAGCGAGCATGGTGAGAGACACCTGTACTCCTCGCATTTGGAAGTCGAGGCAGGCAGACTGGGTATTTGGTCAGCTCGAGCTACGAGCAAGACCCTGCCTCAAGCAACCACAAAGTAAGGTGGGTGAAAAGCTGTATGTGTGCTCCTTCATTTAGCTGCTTTAGAGGAGAAAGTGGGTCCACATGGCCTGACTAACTCTTTCAGCCCCCTGAGTTTATCTGTTACTCTTCCTATTACACATTGCTCAGTCTTGAGTCTTTGGCTTCATTTTCTGTCCTTTTTCCCCCCATCAAAGCTTATCTGTGCTATTGTGAGGATTTCCCCAGGTTGCTGTGTTGGAGGGCCCCACCCAAGCAATCAGTTGCTCAGTGATAGCATTTTATCAGAGTACAAAAGCCAGGAATGGTGATAGAGACCACTTCCAACCTCTTTATTTTACTTGTGGAACAAAGCCCCACAGGCCACAGAGAGGATGGCATGCCTATAGTCTCAAGACTGGATACACAAGTCCCATTCATTACAAAATTGGGATGATTCTATCTCCATCCCAGAGGCTCACCAGCTGGATGCAGTCCTGCCTTCATAGCAAGGTTAGGACTGGACAAAGCCAGCTCCTGCCTGACATTGAGAAAACAGAAAGATTCTGTTGGTTGCAAATTCTAAAGTGAGCTTGAAAATGTGCTGTAATGCTCAGGTTTTTCGGTATATGAAGAAGGAAACTCAAGACCCCTGAACCCTGGTCGTCGTATCCACAACCACTAACTACCTCGTGCTTAGTAGTTTGTTCTTGGTGCACTCAGAGAGCCAAATGTCACCCTGCTTCTCAGAGACAGTTGAACCTAAAAATTTCCAGACACAGGTGGCTGACTCAGCCCTCGCTTTGCTGTGGCGATGGTGATCAGGCATCAGCTGTTGGCTCGGGATGATGTGTTCCCAAAGCAACATGGTGAGTGCGAGCTGCCAACTTGGAGGCTCAGGGAATGCAGTGTGTTGAGCCAGTTAAACACCCCAAACTGCCCTCTCTCAGAAATAAGGGTGACTCATCGGAGCGCTCTGGGACTGGGACTGGGACTGGGAGAGGCACTAGGGAAGCTACTGGGCCTGGAAACCTGCACACAGAGGGCCCCAGATTCCCTGCCACTGTCTCCAACTCACAGCCTCTTCTCTAGCTGAAAATGAATATAGGCTCCATTCCTGAACCCTGCCATCCCCCTCCAGGAAGCACATCTGGTCTCTTCAAGCCTGCTCTTCCTCTCACACTAAGGGCCCCTCTCTCTACAGTGTGTTGTTTCCTTCTTGGTTTCTTTTCTTGCTTCTTAACCATTTCTATTGTTTGTTTACAGCTGACACGGGTTACAAATGCTCTAATGAGAAACAGTGGTGATGCAGACTCCTCCAGCTCACCTGGTCTCTGCATAGCTCTGTAAACCCTTACTATTTCAACTATGGCTATAACATCTGCAAATAGAGTGCTTAGCAGTCAGGCTTTTGTGCCAATTGGAGAAAGGGTGTCCCTCCCTTTCAGACAGACAGGGTCATAGCCAGGCAAAAGAAGCATGGGCTGGGCTCCATCTCCTGGGCTGGAGTGAGACGCTTGTAGCACCTGGGCTATGGCTTCTTGCAAGAGATTATTCTCTCCGTGTCCCTCCTCAATGCTCCACTCCAATGGGAAACGCCTAGGGAAGCTGGCATCAGACAGCTTGCTTCCCTCTTGTCTGTAGGGAAGAAAAGGAACACACACATACACACACACGTACACACACACACACGCACACACACATACCTCACAGATATCACAAACATACCTCACACATACACATACATATATACACACAACATACACATACATACACATACATACACACACCACATACACACACAGTACCACACATATACACACACACACCAGACACACACACACACACACACACACACACACACACACACACACACACACAAGACCTCATTGCGTCTCTACTCCAAACAGGGTGTTTCAAGGCTCTCTTCAGCCCTCTCTTCTCAATCTCACTCTCTTGCTGGGAAGGCCCAGAATACAAATTGTCATAATTCTTGACTTTGGCTTTCTCTAAGCATGGTATGCCCATTTCCTCCTGGTCTTTGAGCAAACACCTACCACCCTTTCCAATGCTGTCCTCAGCCCTGCCTCCTCATGCTTTTCTAATCAGACTAGCTATTTCTTTTTGTTGCTTCTGTCACCCCATCTAGATGCCATACTGCTCTGATATTTTCCTGAATGCTACCAGAATGGAACTCACAGTCATCTCTTAGCCTCCTGCTGAAAAGGTTTCATGTACTTACCCTGTATCTACCTGGATGCTTAACTCAACACCACCCTAAAGCACCCTCCCAAATCTATTTTCAAACACATTGATGAACAATTTTGACTTCATAAATGATTTACTTTGTAAGAGCAAGCACCTTCATATTTACCAATCTTTATGAGCATTTTTTTATCTGAATTCTTGTTTGGCATCCTTTCCAGAGATTTTATTATTATATAATAACTTCCCCAGCTTGCCAGCTTAGATCGCCATATCCTATCTCTGCCTGCCTTCCCCATTTGTCATATCAAGCTTATTATATCTGTATTATAAAAGAGAAAACAACTCCATGTGGTCCCAACTTCTGCCTGTAATCATGCACTTCCCATCCAGGCTCTCCTTAAGTCAGCCTTCTCTAGAATGAGCTCAGACTAGGTTGAACCAAATGTTTTTCTTGTGACACACATGCAACAGGTGTTTGCCTCCTCAAGGATGCAGTTTAGAAGGTAAGAGTTGTTTCTTCCACAATCACCCAGTGCAGCACAATGAAGATGTATACAGCAAGCCTGTGCTCAGTGAGGATATATATAGCAAGCCTGTGCTCAGTGAGGATGTATACAGCAAGCCTGTGCTCAGTGAGGATGTATACAGCAAGCTTGTGCTCAGAGTCTGCCTCTCAAAAGGACAGAACAGAAATAATTCTAAGCCCTTTCTGTCTTTACATTCTTCTTTCTCCCAGGTAAAGGCCGGTGACTGGAGTCAGTGAGAAGTGTCCAAAGACACAGCAGAAACTAATAAATATCCATGAGATGAACAAGTCACTAAGTGGCAGGAGACAAGAAAAGATGAAGGAAGAACTTTCACATGTGTGTCACAGAACACCCTCACACCACACACGTGTCACCCTAGCTGAAAGCAGCTCTGAGAGGCTACCCAGGGTACCTGGGATGAAGCCTGGATAGTGGATAACAGGATGAAGCATGAGCACAGGGTTCCAGCATTAGCTCTGCTCTCATCACCTGGGGAAGGAAGTGAAGAGAGCTCCCTGGGCCTCCCGTTCCTTCTTGGTTTCACCACCCTGTCTGTTGGTGGCCCGGTGTGACTTAACCACCAGGGTCCTTCCGTGCTTCTCAACAGTCACGCTTGCAGCTTCCTCCCCCAGATGCCTGAACACCCAGGGCCCCAGCACCTCAGCCCTCCGCAGAAAGCTTTTCTTGGCTACAGCTCTACACAGGGACCTTCACTGCCCACTGGCAGAAAAGAATCTTGGCTGTGGAAACTGGTAAACTCCACATATTTTACAGATGAAACTAAACTCCTGGTGACTCTAAATGTGGTGTGAAATGGACAGAAGTCATTCTGCTGATGTGACATGCCTGAAATAACATCACCACCGCCGCCACCCCCACGCAGACACCCACGTCATGGAAAGAGACAGTCCCACAAGTCCCTGTGCGTAGGCTGCTGCCGCCTTCTCTTCCTTACCCTCAGTCCCTGGTCATTTTCTGTATTTTTCTACTTTTACATTTTTCTTTTTCTCTTTTTTCTTGTGTGTGTGTGTGTGTGTGTGTGTTTTGTTTTCGTTTTTGTTTTGCGATGCTCCATTTGTCCTGTTGAAAGACAGTCCAAGGTCACACAAAGGCAAAGGATGAATGTCACGGTTCTCAGCCCTGAGACCCCATGCATCCATCAAAGCCCATTTCTAGCAAGCTGCATTGATTCCAACCATTTATACCTGCAGAGGAGAAATGATCAGCAATCTACTGCCCCCAGGGTCAGGATTGTCAGAAATGCCCTCCTGGACAGGACAGATGATAAAGGACATCAGAGACACCAAGTTCCTAGAAAACAGAGAACTTGTTGATTTATTTTTGTGTTTATTTTATTTTATTTTATTGTCTGCTTTGCTTGGAGTATGTAGGCAGCCCAGACCCCTAGGTTTCTAGGTTAAGGTAAACAAACAGCCAGTGGATATTGTATTTTTTTTTTCAGGTAACTGTCCTCTACCTCGAAGTCAGCTGGTTTTTCAGCCTCCAGCACTGCATACATCCTGCTGACCCCGGCCAGTCAGGAGTAACCTGATCATGCACACACAGGCTCCCACCGAACGATCAGCATCAGTGGGTGTGCGTGGGTGTGTGCACGTGTTTATGTGTGTGAACCCGTGTGTTTGTGGGGGACGCGTGTGTCTGCGCGCGCGGGTGTGTGGTGGGGGCGGGCTCTGCGCCCTGGGGGCAGGGCTCCGCAGCGAGAGTGGCAGCTGGACTAGCGATGCTGCGAGGGACAGGGTGCAGAGCCGCAGTGCCGTAGCGGGCAGCAAAGGCAGCCTGCCCTTCCAGCAGCCTAGCCCCTAGCGGAGGCGGAAGACCCGAGGGGCCGCCAACCCTGGAAGCCGCCTGATGTCCCCGCCCCAGAGAGGGCTGCACTGGGAGGAGGACGCCCTGGAGCCCGCTTCGGTCCCCTTATGTCTCTCGGTTCCTCTTTCCTCCCAAGTAAGGGAATAAGCGTCTAGGAGGGAGCGCCCCCGGCAAGCGCGCAACCAAGTGTTGCATGGTGAGGTAAGACCACGAACCAGGGGTCACCAGTTGGGGGTTGCGGGGGAGGGACGCGGCAGTAACTTGGAAAACCTGGGCAAAGCGAGAGCGGGTCCCGCGCCTGGGAAAGGAGATGCAGACGAGGCCCCTGTGCCCATCCTGACGGCGCCACCTGCCACAATCCCGGGCCAGAGGGGATGCGCCAGTGGATTGTGCAGGGTGGGGCCCCCTCCCTGTGCGATCGGTTGGGACGCAAAGGTGTGTGGACGGCAGGCGGTCTTGCTTTAGGCAGTTTGCTGAAGCAACTGGTCAAATGTCTTCTTCCTTCTTAACGTTGGCTCCACGGTATCCAAATCGCAGCACCGGGAGCCAGAGGGCTATGGGGAGCAGGGGATGTCTTTCTGTTGCCTGGTGGCCAGAGAGTCTGACAGTCCCGCGGGGTTCTGAGACTTTTGGACACTCCAAGTTCAAAGCCTCTGGGTGGGGGGTGGGGGTGGGGGGCTTAGAGATAAGACGAAAAGAATACAGACACCTTGGCAAATAAAGGGAGGAGCATCAGTGGAAACCTAAAGCTGACCTGTTTCTTTTGAGTCACAAGACCTGTCTGTGTGTTTGTATCTTAAATAGGGTGTGCATCCAGAATCACCTGTGGGGCTGTAGGGAGTTAAAAAACTGCATCTGACCGCTTCACCCTGTATCTTCTGATGTCCCTTTTCTTGGGACTAATGGATTAGAATTTGAGGAGGGGGCTGTGAACTTCTTTAAAAGCCCTATATGTGATTCTGAGGGTCCGCCTCCATCCCTGCCACAGTTGCAGGGAACAGGGGAGAATCAGATGCATGATCAGTCCTGCTGTGCACTTCAGGGTAGCAGAGAGATCTCAGTCTCAGGGAGGGGGATGTCAGGATGGTCTGCTCAGGGACGAGGTGACTTGTGAAAGAACCACAGTGGCGTTTTGGAGTGCTGTGTGAACCCTCAGGCTTACTTGTCCAGGCTGCTATGTTAACTGCCTGTGCCTCATTAGCATACAATGACCTCCCTATGGGGAGGAGAGCTGTTTGTCATGTTTTCAAATCAGGGCCTTGAGGGACCCATCATAGGTCTGTAGGTGTACACAGTCACCTCCAAACATAATGAGGAGCAGTAGCTAGACACTAGACTTTGATAGCTTTGTGCCTGGGATTCAGTATTTATACAATGCAACTCCGGGAGCCACTTGCTGGAGAATAGGGTCAATGAAGGGCTGAAGGATGTTGGTTCTCAGTGCTAACATCAGGAATCAAAAGCACACACACACACCCTTTATAATTATACCCTTCTCAGTCTAGGGGTGTCCCCAACCATGGGAAGGTACTTCTTGTTTAAAGGGATGTATTTGACAGAAATTCCAATTTGAATATAAGTTATACTCATTAAATAAAACAGCTGTAACTAAGCTAATTTCCTGTGGTGTTTCTCATCTAAGCGCCCCCACCACACACATGCACGCACGAACTGTCCCTTTAACATTTAACTTAAGCATTCTAAGTGTTATTGTTTGTGAGAGAGGTCTGGGGATGGGAAGGAAATAGAAGAATGCTTCCCACTTTATATGTGTGTGTGTGTCTATATCTTCCCATATGGTCTATGTCCTCCCATGTGCATGCACATGTCTCATGTCTCTTTGTGTATATGCCCTGTGTGTATGCATGTCCCATGTCTGTGTATGTACATATTCCATGTCTGGGTATATATGCCCCATATCTCTCTGTTGTGTACATGTTTCATGTCTTTCTGTGTTTATATGTCCCCCCCATGTATGTATACATGTAAGTGTGTGGTGTGTGTGTGTGTGTGTGTGTGCATGTCTCTGTGTATGTCGTGTGTGTGGGGGGTGTGTGTGTGTGTGTGTGTGTGTGTGTGTGTGTGTGTGTGTGATCCTCTATCACTTCCCACCTTGTTTTGGAGATGGGGTCTCATTAAACACAGGTCTCACTGATTCAACTGGACTGGCCATCAAGCTTGAGAACCTTCCCATCTCTGTGTTCTAGGTGTTGGACTACATAGAGGCCTTGCCCAGCTATGTACATGGGTGTACACGGATGGGAATTCAGATCTCAACACTTCTGCAGCGATCATTTTACCCATATGCCACCTCCCTAGCCCCCCTTCACCTTCTTTTTCTTTTTTTTTTTTTCTTTTTAACTTAGTCATTTGTTTAGATCAATCAAAATATAAGCAGCTTGCACTGTAGAGTCTGGGAACTGGAAGAAATTCCTATGATCATCTATCCCAGCTTCTCCGCTGCCCACCCACCTCCCCACACAACACCAACAGCTGAAAGGCTCCTCCAGCCCTGACCTGGCCTCCTAGGGGTCCAGCACATATGAGACTCTGTGTGAGTGTCTGCCAAGGCTGGTTCCAGCTCCTCCCCTGAAGGAGGAAGTGCTGTTTCATTGTGGGTAATGTTGTTGTTGTTTTTTTTTTTTTAGTGTGTGTGTGTGTTTGTGTGTGTGCAGCATTATGATATACTCTTAATATAACAATAGTTCCTGCTCATTGCAGAAAATTTGGGAAGTTGAAAGTAAAAAATTATTGCCCATGTTTCCTACCACCAAGATCCCACATTTTTAAATACATTGACATATTTCTCTTCTGTCTATTTTTGTGCCTGGAAATCATACACTCCATAGAGGGCTAGCATTTGTAGGTAACCTAATAAATGTACTTTGCATGGTGTTAATCATTATGTCATTTAGTCCTAGGAAGTCCCTCTGAGATAGGTGTTATTATTATCAACCCCATTTTTCTAGGATGGCATAGTGTACAGGTGACAGGCTCTAGTGGCAGAGCCCAGTGCAAACCCAAGCTCACTGACTATGATGTGAGGTCCTATCGCTCCTCTCGATTCTTGTTTTGTTTTTCCTTAATTGGTCTTGTAGTGAGCATCCCTCGCCAACATCATTTCCCAGCTGTGTATTATTATACTGTTAGCCATTTAACTCGTGTGCTCTCCTCAGCAACTACAAATAAGTCTTGGCGAAACCTTTACCATGCACATTTCCAGTTCCTTCTTCCGGGCAGATTCCCAGAAGGAGAATTACCAAGCCAAAGGGCAAGACTATTTGGAGGTTCCTTAAAGGTACACAAGAAGCCACTGCTCCTTATAGGTACAAAAAATCTTCACCAACTTCCATTTCCCTAGAGGCAGCTCTACCACAGTCTAAGTAGATACCCTTTAGCTACTCAAGAACTGTTCAGAGTTTCACAAGACAAAGCCACATGCAAGAGCATTCACAGCCTGATGGGAGACATCACACATGCCATCTAATTTATCCACTCAAATATGGATGTGGAAACTGCTTCATATAAGGCTATTCTTTCTGCTGTTGTTTTCTGAAACAAAGTTTCACTAATGTAGACCAAGCTAGCCTCAAATTCCCTTCTGCCTTGACTTCGGGAGTGATGGGATTACAGGCCTCTACAAAAATGCTTAGCTTTGAAACTGTACCTAGCTTTAGTAACTGTGGGCTACACAATTCTTTGGCTGGGCATCACATACTTACTTGGAGCAAATCAAACTATTGTATAAAATATATAAATGTATATAATGTCCCACATCTTCACACAGTGATTATGGTAATCTTCACCCTTATAAACATAGCCACATAGCCAGGCTCAATAGGTTTCCATTACTCATAGCTTCTTCATATTCTGGCCAGATTCACAGAGCTATTTGTTTACATGAAGTATCAGAATCCCATAGCAAAACAATCATTACTTATAAGTAGCAGAGTTCATCTAATCAAATAACAGCAACACAGCCCAGAAAAAAAATCTAATCAAGATAACTCCAGATAAGCCAGTTTTTAAGAGGTTATGGTCCGTTGAGATGGCTCAGCAGTAAAGCACCTGCTGTGCCCATGTAATAATGGAGACCAAGTTTAGATCACACCACTAACATAAAAAAGAGAGAGGCATGTAGTATGTGCCTATAATCCCAGTGCCAGGGAGATGGATAGAGGAGGGTCCCTGGGGCTGAGTGGTCAGCCAGTCTGGCTACATCAGTGAGCTCTGGGTTCAGTGAAAAACCAAGACTCAAACTATAAGGTGAGGGAAGTTTGAAGAAAAGAGACTTCCAACCACACACACACACACACACACACACTTATGCAAACACACACATATTCATGTACACACACAAATGCATACACATACCTATGTATACACACCTATGCACCACACACACCAAGAGATACTCATCACAAAACTATCCTCAGGTCAAAGAAAGTGTGACCAGCAAAGAAGAAACCCAATCAGATACCAACATCACCACCACTACCCCACACAAAGGCAATTTTAAAAGAAAACGAATTGGCCCTGGTCATGGGTTTCCTTTAGAGCCATGTTTGCCTTGTACCTACCTCTACTACCTGCAGTTGGCTTCATAGACCTATTTTGTTACACGTGGAATAAACAATGATTGAGTCTCACTATAAAATAAACGTGTGCAAGACTCAGCTCGGGTCCAGACAGATCCTTCTGAAAATCTCTCCCCTCCTGTGGGGAAGAGAGATGTCTCAGCAGCCCAGAGCATACACTTACCTTGCCATGGTGAAAACATTTCTTTCCTATGTCCTCACAAGCATGCAAGCTAACTGAGGGCAGGGCCATACCTAAATTTCTGATACATTCCCAGAACTGAAGTTTATGCACAGGTGACAATTCAACCGCATCTACTGAATATGGGAATAGACAAATAAGAATGTCCAGGGCACTGTTCTGGGCACTTCGTGCACATTTCCTTTGCATGGGATCTTCCTCCTACTCAGGCCAGTCAGTCTCAGAAATATGCCTGAGACTTACCTAGAGTTCTGTTGTTTGTTTTCACATACCCTTCTTCCCAGGCTTATTTAAATCTTCAGAATAAAACACAATTACAGTGGGACAGGCAGCTTTTGGTGGATGCACTGGAGAATATACAAAAAGAAAACCTCCTTAAGTGTGAAGAGTCAGCATCCTAGAGTGTGAACGGGTGCCCGCAT